CCAATCCCTAACGTTCTGGGATTCTGTGTAACTGAGAGACCCCTCCCTCAATTCCCAGCCAGTGTTAATAGCTATTCTGGACTTCACACAAGATAAATCTTAGCATCTACTTCGTATTTAACCAGGGATCCAGTTCTTCTCGTTTTTCCACACGCATGTTGTCTCTGATGGCTGTGGTGAGGAACATGCTGCTGGCAGTGTTAAAGTTAACTCTGCTTCTCCTTCCCACCAGCCACTTGCTCTCCTCTCCCCTGTCTTCCCTGCTGTAGGAGGTTACAATATTAAAGCCCAGAATTAAATGCCAATATGGCCTAAAAGTTACAAGAGTATTCAGTATTCACTGATATTTATTGCTCGTGTCATGCCAAGCACATGGGAGTAGAACAAACCTTTCGAAAGGCTTAAAAGATAATACACGACCAACTGACAGAGGTTAATGCTATAGAAAGACCTAAAAGGGTCCTTCCCCACAGTTATATTTATATTTTTCGTCTCAGTAATTATTTAGTATGAAGCAAAACACACATCACTTTCAGTCTCAGTCTTAAAGCTTTGGCCTGTAAGTTAAAAACCACATGGGATGAAGCTTTAACTGTAACAGTACCATCTTCTGAAAACATATCTTTGTGCAGGTCCTTAGCAGAGAGAAGAACCTTCAGAGCAGGTCTGTGCCTCCACCCGTCTTCCCCATCCATGCTTCAATCGCAGCACTATTTTCTACTTCTTGGGTTCATATAACAGATCACTATGTTTTCAGCACAACATACACAGACAGTAACCACCTCAAAGAGAAGGCCTAAATAACATTAATTTCTCCTGTTTAAGAGTAGTACAGCATGGTAGAATTAGTAAGAATGCTCTCCTCTGAACATTTGCAGTATTTCTTATGCATGCTGATTCTCCACTGCAGACCACTGGTAACAGTGCTCAGTCTGGTCACAAAATACCTTATGGGCTATCATAAGATTATGGCAGGAAGTAATGAAACAAAAGAGGAGGCAGCCAGAAAGCAGAACACTTAGAACAGCTACAATATTACTTATATTAAACATTATAGTTACAGATTAAAATACTACAAGGTAGCAGTTAAGTAGCATTTCAGATTTGAAGTCTGAATCAGGTGGTTGAAGTGTCAAAATATTGTCTTCATAATATCCACACAACTTGCACCTGGACAGCAGCTGGGTTGTACACAGAATCTTTTGGCAATCCGCTGACGTGACTCATTCAATGCACAGGGTAACGCAGAAAATACAAATTAATGTCTTTACACAGAAATAAATACAAAGTAATAATGGTCCCAGCAGAGGCTTACATCAGTACTGTGGAAACATCTATGGACAGATCAACTGGCTGATTCATACGCTCAAAAAATTGCTACAGAAGGAGAATTCAAGTTATCCAAGCATTAAGTTTGTCTCCACACTTCGACAAACGCCTCCTTCCTTTTCCCATTGGCATTTAGCATGCCCTGGACTTTTTGGCTGCTTTGCACTTCCCTCCACACCACAATATGAAATTAATTCAGAACCATTGATCCTACCCTGACTTTTCCTTCCCCTCTAGAGCTGAGCTCGTGCTACACATCAGTCTCTTAACACCAGAACACAGCTGAGCAGCACTGTGGTGCAAACCCATATTTGAAACAACCCACCAGTTTTTCAGTAGTAAGCCCATTTCCTCCTTAACTGTACTTTGAAAGCAGCAGATGAGTCAGGATGGCACAGTAAGACATTTCCCTCTCCTAAGCACTAAACATTTCTTACACCAGCTCACCACTTGTAAACAGGGACCATATGGCACTGAAAACTACCATGTTGGATTGCTACAGAAGTAGAATTCAAGTTATCCAAGCATTAAGTTTGTCTCCACACTTAGACAAACGCCTCCTTCCTTTTCCCATTGGCATTTAGCATGCCCTGGACTTTCTGGCTGCTTTGCACTTCCCTCCACACCACGATATGAAATTATTTCAGAACCAGAGTTCATTGATCCTACCCTGACTTTTCCTTCCCCTCTAGAGCTGAGCTCGTGCTACACATCAGTCTCTTAACACCAGAACACAGCTGAGCAGCACTGTGGTGCAAACCCATATTTGAAACAACCCACCAGTTTTTCAGTAGTAAGCCCATTTCCTCCTTAACTGTACTTTGAAAGCAGCAGATGAGTCAGGATGGCACAGTAAGACATTTCCCTCTCCTAAGCACTAAACATTTCTTACACCAGCTCACCACTTGTAAACAGGGACCATATGGCACTGAAAACTACCATGTTGGACACTTTCACAGTTATGCTGTACCTCCAGCTGAAGTCTAGCAGCCCTCAGCTCTGCTATTAATCCTCTGATCAGGAGACAGATGCCTTCACAGGAGGTTACAGATTTTTGTACTCTACTCCCCTCCCTGCTATAGCGTAAGAAAAAGGTGCCAGGTCTTGGTAAAAACTTGAATTAGTATTTGATATAAAACACAGGATGCCTCACCCAGAACACTGATGTGAAAAAAAAATATTATAAGGATAAGTGCAAGATTTCACTCTGTTAACACAGGCCTGACCTGCCCTTGAGGCCCCCAAAAGATTGAGGACAGGATGACCATAGAAGCATCCCTTTGATGAATCTGAGCAACAAAACTGAACTCAGCAATAGCCTAAGTGGCAAACTGATAACCTCCTTCCCAGATTTCAATGTAAGAGCAATTCTACCAATTACTGTAATGACTCATCACTGCTACTCCAAGGAAGGTCCCAACACATGCAGACAAATACCCACGCAGGTGAGGAATGGTCCATTTTTCATATGAACATTAAGAGCCATGTTGAATGGCCATGTGCTTTCAATAATGTTCACTTTTTGAGCAGCCCCAGTTTTAGTTTTAAAACCTGAGCTACTGGAAAGCAAACAACTAGCTGCAGGCTCCTCTAGGACAAGAGCTGTTGAGCAAAGTTAGCTCCACACCAAGGTCACAGGCAAGAGCAGACTTGAATGTAGTGAGAACCTGAGGGTATCATTTCATACATAGCTGAGCCCACATAGAGTGTCCCAATAGGATACTGAAGATACTCTCACAGCTGCTTAATGAGAGTTTGATGTGGGTGGCCAGTAAGTCACAGGGGAGTTATGAAAATTGGAAGAGCAGATTGAGATCTACTCAGACGTACACTTGGGTGTGGTGTTTCAAAAAGAAGTAGAAAGCCTGACACAGAATCCTGCTATCAGCAAGCACACTCTTTAAAAGAAGAGGTCCTATGCCAAGTCAGGCAATGCCTGGTTTGCTTTGTGATGTTCTCCCTCAATGGTGGTGTTACAAAACAGTTTTGATTTAGTTTAGTTCTGTTTCTCTGCTTTAGGGGACCCAGCTGAAAAGCTGAAATTTTTAGATTCACATCTTCTTGTGTAGCTACAGCCATAGCTTGAAGTATATACATGGTGGGAGTGCAAGCTGAGCAAGGATAAAACATCTCACCTTGTCTGCCCACGCACAGACTTGTGGTCTACACAGGTTGCTAAAATGAAGCCACTAAGTCTGGAAGAGAAGGCTGAGGTTGGCAGAGCTCCAGATAGGCTTCCCTGAGGCTTCAAACTCCGAGTTTAAAAAGAAAAAATGCTTTGAAAACAAAGAGGTGTGAAATTTTTCAAACCTTGACAGAATCTCAGAAGACATTCCCTTGAGATCCGCCCTAATCCTGGCACCCCACACCACAACCAAGACTGTTACGGTGCAGAGTAATACGTGAGCAGGCCGCTTCCCGAGAGGAAATTCAGATCAACCACCAGGCAATCTATGGGCTCTGAACTTATGAAGTCCTATACAGTCTCTAATGGTCTGCTATGTATTTTTCATCTCACTTTGCTTTTTGAAACTGGGTTAAGGCACTGTTTTCAGCTGGGAGCTATCAAAGAAAGCCCATTTCCACACCTCAAAGCTGACTTCCTGTATGGAATGAACTTTATGTAATTAATTGTCTACACAACCACTACTAAGGGGTAGTCTCCTGTTTGCCAAGGATGTAGGAACACATAGAAAGATCCATCCGTACCAAGCATCCCTCACCTGTACACCTGGGCACTGCCTGGAACCAATTGCTTTAACGCCCAACACAAGAATACAACGTCCAGCTTGTTCCAGGTTAACAGGGGAAGAGCAGACCTGAATCTTCATTCTGGTCAGCCCAGAGCAACACCACCTTCCAAGAAAGCTAGAAACACAAAGTACCTGAAGAGAAATAGCCCCCTTTCTGGAAACAGGCACTGAGTTGCTATTGCTTCCTTCTAGCAGGAGAGCTTGCGAGAGGACTGTCTTACCTGAGGTTTAACATTCACCGCCTCTACTGCATTCTCATTCAGCCACTTTGCATCAACTTCCACATCAAAATGGCCAATATTACACACAATGGCATCATCCTTCATCTGCTCAAAGTGCCTGCAAAAAAAATAAGTTATATCAAAATCTAATGCACAAAAATATTTCATTCTTCAGCACCAGAAGATGCTCTGGTCCATAGCTCTGCTCAAGAAGAAGTGAAAAGTGCCTGGCTTACTGACTGCATTTGACTCTCTCAAGATGTACAGGTCTTGATCTTCCAGGCATGTGAAATCTACCAAGCTTCTAAAGGAAGGACACTTCTCAAATATATGAGAGGTTACTGGAGAGAAGCTATTTTTCCAGTATGGAAAGTAAAACTGTTTTGTTTAATTGGTCAAACTGAAATATCTGCAGTTTTTCTTTCCTACACAGAAGAAATAAGTTTTCTTCACAACTTTAAAGTTCCAGCAGTTTTACATCTCTAAAGACTTAAGGCCTTATCACCTCACACTTAACCTGATCTTCCACTCCAACACGTAGAATTATAATGGCAAAGACAGGAATGAATTTGTGTAGAGTGGAGGGGCTATAAATTGAGATCTAAGAAGCGATAACAAAAAACCTGCAGGGCAGTTTATTGAGAACAAGGTAGTTTCAAGTCTGCTATGCATACTCACAGATGAAATCACTTTCACCCTTTACTCTAACATTTACCTACCTCCTCCTCTATTCACATTTGTGTCCTAACACAGAATTTAGCCCTGATGCTCTTATTCTCCAAAAATCTGTCTGTATCTGTCTACATCTTTTGTTTCTCCATCATCACATGCTGCAAGACAGGAACAACTGCAATGTGGCAACATCCAACAGAACTAAAAGATGAAAGCCCCAATTTCTCACTAAATTGATGCTAAATTCTGATGTCCAGAAACAAGACCGTGCTAACACTCATCATACTGCTGACAAGTTACGACTGTACTTTATAAAATTAACTGTACAGGCACGCTTTCAGTAAAGCAAGTGGCTAGATCATACCTGCCCTGAACGATGTCAGTGCAGCCCGTGGTAGTAACAAAGATATTGCCTTCTTTGCAGGCCTCCTCCATGGTTGTAACTTCATAACCTGAAAAGAGAAATCGTTATTCCTCTGAATAAACCACAGAAACTTTCTTGGCCAACTATCATTTACTGCTGTACACTGACACACAGAGACCTCCATGAGATGCAGTGATTTCTGCCTCTCCTTCAGCTCTCACCTTCCATGGCTGCCTGCAGTGCATTGATGGGATCGATTTCAGTGATGATGACTCTGGCTCCAAAGCTCCGCAGGGCCTGAGCGCAGCCTTTGCCCACATCACCATAACCTGCCACGACTGCTACTTTCCCAGCAATCATGACATCTGTAGCACGTTTGATGCCATCGATAAGAGACTCTCTGCAACCATAGAGGTTATCAAACTTGCTCTGAAAAAGAAAAAGGAGCAGTTTCAGAACAGATGAAAGTCACTCAAGTAAAGATTCCTTAGAGAGATAAAAGGTATGCAAGTACTACAAACCAGGAGGGCTGACAGCCAGCTGAATACTTTAACCACAGTGAGGGATGGGAAAAAGATAACCTGGTTTGATGGGGTTTTTTAATCCAGTTTCAACCTATGTATTTATACCAGATACCAGGCTTCAGCACGTTTCACAAACATGTTGTATCTACCGACTAGAGCTTGGGACATGCTAAAAGCTTGCTAGAGGTAACAGCACAAACAATTCTTGCATACAGAGGCAGGTCCAAGTTCCTTAACCAGATGTTCACCAGTTCCCTGCTGCTGTTTATCACAAAATGAACTGAATCAAGTGCTACAGGTAGGAAAAACCCACACCAGCAGAATATTTGCCCAATTGGTTAGCACATAAGATTTGCAAGGTACATTCACCCTGCAGAAGCAGCAAGTTGCCCACATGCACCATGAGAAATTGGTTCCTGCAGCCCAGGAAGATCAAAACTACATCTCTCCAAACACTACTATAGGAACCTGGCACCACGTGAAAATATCAAGCTGGGAGAGCAGAATTTGTCAGCTCAGCTGCAAGTCTTCCTGGAGATCTGTAACTGTGGTTAGTACAAACCTTTTACTACCAAAGTACTTGAAAATAAGCGCTTGTTTGGCACTAGAATAAAGTGAGCTCAACCCAGACGCATTCAAGAGGCTTTTTCAGAAACATCCGAATTTCCAAATCTACTAAACATTTAATAGTTACTAAGCAGGAGGCACAAAGCTAGGTGAAAAGGATGTAGAAAAACAAGCTTCTGCCAAGATCAACTGGACTCCAGCCCACTAGCTATGAAAAAAAAATGCCAGATGCATCTTTGTGAGCAGAAAGGAGATACCCTTTAGATAGGAAACTGCAGAGCAAGCACGCCACACAGCCAGAACTGCCGTCCCCAATAGGATAATGTTAATATGGTAGCTTGAACTAGATTCAGCAACTAGGTTGAAAAAACATCTAGATGCATAAACCTTAAGTACACCTGAAATCCCCACTGTAAGTCACCTGCATCCAAAAAGCACCAGCCGCCTTTAAACACAGTTCCACTTCACTCAATTCACCAGGATTTGTCTCAGGAAGCAGTAATAAAGCTAAGGAAGGAATAAATACCTCCTGCTCTGTCCTTTGCAACCGCTGCTCATAGAAATCCATTGCCAGATAAAGTTACCTTTACCAGCCACAAGCTCATGTCGGTCACATTCTCTTTTCCAGCTGATACCTGCCACCTACACCTGTGGGCTTTAAGCTACTCAGAGGGAGTTTAAGGCACGTCCCTTGCCACAGGAACTGCCTGTACCCCAGGAGCCATGATTTCCAAAGGTGTTTTCACATTGTTAAAATGCAGAGGAATGCATGTCTTTACATACAACAAAAGCCCTTGATGTTCTGAAAACAGGGTATTTACAATGGTATGTCCCACTAGAGTCATCATGGGCTCACTTCAAGTATTTGGTGAGAATCTGCTCAGTGGCAGGTCAAGAACAGCTCAGGAAGAGAGGGAATACTTGTATGGGGATGACAACATCCCAACACCAAACCAGTCAGACAGCAGAACATAGCAGAAGAGCTCCAGCTGTATTACCTTTGTGACAGAGTCATTAACATTGATAGCTGGCACTTTCAGGGTCCCATTGGCCTTCATCTTGTACAGGTTGTGAACTCCAGTGGTTGTCTCTTCTGAAATACCTCTGATTCCTGTGGGGAGAGTAAAATGATTCAACTTAGTTGGAGTTAATCCTGCTGCAAACCAACACATCCAGGTGCTGGAGGCCTCCTCCAGAGGCATAAGTTAAACAAACCCTTTTGCAGGAAGGAGGGAAGATGTGAGAACCATCATTTGGATCTTCAAACAGCAGTTTGAAACTTCAAACCAGTTTCTTCCCTCAGAAGGCAATTAAAAAAGCAGGACAAAATATTTGGAAAAAAATGGAAAGGGCCAGCTCTAGACCAGGGAAAGGGCAAGTGGGCACCAACAACAATAACCCCCAGGAAAATCCCCCAAATTATTTACATAGTCCATGAATTCTAGGTATTGAAGAGAAGTATTCAACTGTCACCACCTCTCCAGCCACCAAGATCCATGAGAACTTATGAGAAGACAGGATGAGGAACTGGAGAATCACCTCTCTGAACGGCACAGTAGGCAGAACAGTCATCGCTGTTGGGAGCAAAAAGCATCAGCACAGCCCAAGGTGGGGACAGGAACAAAGTGAATGAGATCAGCAACCCCAGCTGAGCCCTGGCCTTGCCCACAGAGGACAAACTAAGAGCTTGGCCTCCTAAGGGGCCTGCAGGCTCCAGGGAGGCTCCTTGAGGCCACCCCAGGAGCACTGGAAGGCCAGAGCATGCATTTCAGCACCACAGGCACCTGCACCCTCAGGCACCCAAGGGTGCTGTGCCCCAGGCACAGTCCCCGGCAGGAGCACAGCTGGCCTGACCCTTTTGGTTTCATCTGCCCAGCTGTAAAACAAGAGCCACAGCGACAGCCTCTGGGACCCCAGGAGCTCAGGTCATCCTCCCCCAGCAAGGTGAAAGGGAGGAGAGGGGAATCCTGAATTTGACCCTGCACTTGATTAATCAGCTTTGTTCTTCAAAGTTCATGGCCTAAGCCCTCAGGAAGCACAGCTGCATTCCCCCAGCCCGCATCTGGGACACACATGCCCCAAACCAAGGTTTGCCCCCCTCCAAACTGGGGATGGGGGGCACAGCAGCCCCCACCTTGCCCTGCCCATGCTCCACGGCGCAACACCGCCCCCTAGCGGCGTCCCGCAGGACTTCCCCCCTCCCCACTCCATGCACAGAGGTGCCACCTCCAGCCAGGCACATCCTGGTTCAAACCCATCCTTACTGCTTAAAAAATAACATGCTGCAAACCAATGTGAGCCAGGGTGAGCTACACAAGCCAAGAGAAAGGACAACTTTGGTTTAAGTGCGATTCAAAGCTGTTTTCAGACAGCATTTGTAGAGATGTCTCAATGGAGTCTAAGGCAGAGCCATTAGACCTCTCTTTGGCTTCCCACACCACCAGGGAGAAGCACAGACACTTTGTGCAATGTGAAGAGAACAATGCTAGAAAGAAAGTGAGGTTGATTCTGCTGATGTGTCCCCACTGAGGTCTGTCTCACCACAGATCTCACAGTGCCTTAGGTAACCACATGGTTACCTGCAGAGAGTTTCGCTTTTAGCATAATTAAGGCTTGCTTGGAGGGGACAGGACAGTTTAAAAGAACATTGCCTGGTGCACAGTGAAATACAGCATCTGCAGGAAGTCTCCCAAAAGGATCAATTTTCCAGTGCAACTACCTAGATCAAGAGCAATCATCCCCTTGTGAAGGAAATCTGCAGGAGGTCATGGCAGAAACTTCCAGTTCAAACTTGCCCTCTCTCTTCTGGTCTGTCTGGCAACTCAGAGACACTCTCATCCTTCAAAAGCTCCCCAGGCTGACATTTCTAAGCTTCACAGATTGTCTTTAAAGCTGCACTAAGCAAACCTCACATGTATGCCAGCAGCTTCCCCTCCCTGATGGCCAACTGCCTGCTGCCCCCAGGTGACATTTATAAATGTCTGATGTTTATAAAGCTGGTCTAAACTACTCTGCAACTCTGATAAAGAAGTGCTGCCTACGCCACTCAATTCAATAAGTGGCTTAAGTGACTGGAGAACAGCAAAGGGCCTACAGCAAGGAAAAGGTTGAATTAAATTGAAAAAGCCTTGCTAAGCACTTTGCTCCCCTGTATTTCTCACCTGATCAATGAGCAAGTCTGCATCAATGGATCACAAGTGATCTGATCTTCTCCATCCTTTCTCAACAGTAGTCTTCTGCACAGAGACCTCCCTTGCACAAGTCCAGATGACTTTCTCCTTTGAGCTCTAATTTTCCCCCTCCTACCTTTATTTATCTTGGTTTTAAGGGCATTTAGTTTACTGGAATAAGCCAGCAGTACAAAGGCCACTCTGCCCTCTAACAGCAGTCACAACCAGGGAGAGGGGAAGCTTGCTGAGCATTTCCACACAGCTATTTAACATACCTCCTAGTTGACAAAGACTTCAATGAGCCCTACTTTCAACAGGACCGAACTAATTTCTATGTAAATCAGAAGCAGCTGAAGCACAGAAGATAGACAATTCCCTCTGAAATTAGCCCAGAAAACTTGTCCAGCCTTTAAATGGTAAATGGCACTTTCAGATGCTGCATGCCAAAGTGTCTCCTGAACTCATGATCTGGTCATTTCACACACTGTACATGCTCTGCTAACGTTACTCTTGTCCTACCTCTCCCTCAAATATCACCACAAGCCCTTAAGATATATTAGCCTCTACTACCTTAAAGATACAAAAAAAATATTGCTACACAGCTTCATTTAAGCAGTCTTTGCAGCAAAGGGCTAAGCACAGAGCTCAGTTAAATGAGATTAAGACTCTACTCTCATATAAGGGGCTCTGTGAAGGATGGCCAGGACAGGTCACTGTAGCTCATATATTACAGAGCAGAGATGGAAACTGCTCCTGCAGGTAAGAGATTCTCATCTTGGGCTGTAAGCAATTTTTGTAGACTCATTCATGGCCTGCTTGCACATGCCTGTCCCTCTTCCCCCACCCTTTTTATAAAAGCAGGGAATTGCCACAGAAACAGACTGCCTGAACAGCCCCTCAAGCAGAATTGTGCCTGACAGAACAAAATACAAGTCACCTTTCAAGAGCTGTGGGTATTTGGTATGAACCAGGTTGGTAAGATCTCCACCATCATCCAAAATCATGTTGAGGGGCTGCCCATCTTTGAAGTACAGGGTCTGCTCAATGCACCACAAGTACTCCTCATCGGTCTCTCCTTTCCAGGCAAACACTGCACAGGAACAAACACACACAATTAGCCAGTTTCTTACTCAGCACGTAGTAAAGCAGCCAAAGGAAGATTTCAGCAGCAGCTCTCAGTAGCAGCAGACAGCCAGATGATTATCTGTGCCTGTAGGCCAGAACAAAAACATTTGCATTGAAAAAAAGATCTCAGAGTGAGCAGAAGTGAAATCACTTTGCCTTCTGTTCCAGGCCACAAACTTGGTCAAAACTTTGACACTTCACTGCTCTCCTTATTCCTCCTCCATGTTAAGAGAGAGGAGGCAAAACAAACTAAGGCAGACTCACATCCACCTGCTCCTCTAATACACCCTACATTACCAGAATTAGAAATAGCCACTGGATATATTGATACAGACAAATGAAGACACAACTACAGCATTTTCTAGTGCAGCAGAAAAGAGGGACTAAACTTTAACATGAGCTAAGCACCAGACTACAAACTGTTCTGCAACTTTGAGTTTAAATTCTAGTCTCTAGCACAGTGCTAAAATCCAAGCTGCCGTGCCTTGCCTGCTCTTATTGGGGCATATTTCTGTATCAGTACATCTACCACCAGCAACATGCTGCAACCACCAGCATGTGGATTCTAGCAGTATTTCTGCTTTTCCAGGTATTTGTACTGGCTTCATGCCATACTTGAGCCTCAGCAGTACTCAGCCATTCAGACATGAGGACTGTTACATCCTAAAGCTGAGTAACATAGGCAGCTTAAAGTATTCATATTGATCTGCAAGGAATTGCTCTTTATTGGAATGTTACAGTCACAAAACAGCAGCACCTGATAAACCACTTCAAGGACATTAGGCAGCAACACAGATGGCCTAGCTTTAGCTTTAAAATACCTTGAGTATTGACTTTGTCACTGTAACAGGGCACAGCACAGTTAACAGCTCTTCCCTGACCCCTATTTAGCACCAAGGTTGCTGGAAAGCACCAAACATCTCCACCTACACACACCTGCACACCAATCAATTTAATTACCCAGCCCATTCAATCAAGATAATGACCAGGCTTAAAGCTGGCAACACACAGCCAGGCTCTTTCACAGCCTAACATCAGCCTTTGTCAGGAGTGCTATGCAGTCTGATGCAATGCAGCTCGAATCAAACGTCCTGTTTTGTAACAATCACTGCTTTTGATGGGCTATTTCTATCCTGAAGCTTGTTCAGAAGAGCCTGATGTGTACACAGTTCGATGTAGCTAGAACAGGCAGCACACCCCAACTCAGAGCCAAATTAGAATGTGGAAAACTTACCAGGAACACCAGCTTTTGCAATAGCAGCTGCAGCGTGGTCCTGAGTAGAGAAAATGTTGCAGCTTGACCATTGTACCTGGAAAACAACCCAAGTTTTGTTTGCTGAACAAAGTTCCAAGATATCAGACACTCTAAGACACAGGAGTTAAAAAGGGAGCAAGAGCAGAAAGGCATATTAGTAGAGATTCCTGCCTTTCTCAGTAGCTCTGCGAAGTTAAGGTGAAAACTAAGTATGTGACTAGGCCAGGGAAAACAATGTCACTTTGGGAGAGAATGCAATGGACCTTTAGCTGTGTCACATATTCAGCCATCTCCTTACTCACGAGAGCTTCTGCCAGACAGCCAGAGCACGCACTCAGCTGTAGACCTTCAGGAAGTGCACAGCAGGGTGTGTTTAAGAAGGTTTTGATCAATAAAGTTCAGATTTTCAGAGCAGCCACATAGTGAGTGTCCACTGAGGACACAGACACACAGCAACACACCTACTGGCACTCTTAAGAGAAATGCAGCTGAAATGCTACACTCAATCAACAGGCATTCTCCAAAATTATGCTCACACAACTCCCACTCTGTGCTCCACTCACTGAAGCTTTTCCAGCTGAGCTAAGCGTTTTCCAGACAGATTTCATAACTAGGCTCAAGCACATAGAAAAGCAAGAGCATGTTGTTGAGTTGCATTGAAAAGTACCTGCACACCTCCCGCAGCTGCCCAGAGGGCACAGAAACCACCACATCCCAGAGCCACACAGGAGTTCTCAGTCTACTCCCTCCAGGGCTGACTGGCAGGTATTTGTACGCTTATTTGTAAGAGACCTTGAGGAGAGAGGGCAATAAGGCATAGTCCTTCAGCCTGCTTTCAGATACTCATCCCACTTTATCAAGAATTGGCACTTCAAAGTAAGGGCTGCAGCAGGAAGCACCTCATCTGAGTCTACACAACCAACACTTGTCAGTGAAAACACCCCTGGATGAAGCACAGGAAAAGTGAATTCATGACCTGCACTGCACCTCCTCACCTGGGTTCTTCTAAGCTCCCTCCATATCAGTACAGATGACATCAGGAGGTGTCACAAAACTCAAAGTATACAAAATTATCTAGATATAGTTCACACTTCAAGCACTTGATACAAGACACAAGCCACTTCAACCCTGCATTCTCAGATCTGTAACACCAGTTTGTGATAATGGTATAGATTCCAGAATAAGTGACACCTGATGGGTTCAGAGCCTAATATTTACATCACTGGTTATCAAACGCATGCATTTTTATTACAATTTCAGAACTTATCATACTCCGAGGCATGGAGCAGGGTATGGTTTCATCAGTTTCACTCCTTCCTTCCAAGCACCAAAGTTCTGGCAGAAACGATGAACCAGAGCTGAACTCAAACTCAAGTCAAAGTCTAAACTAACAAGGAAGGAGCAACACACCACCACACATCTTAAAGGCACAACCATAACTTACATTTAGAGGAACAAAATCTCTGCAGGTACCTCCCTGAATGTCTTGGATAAATCCCATACAACACTGATTTGAGCTTGTGCTCAGACTAAAGCAGCTTGGCAATGTTTAGGTAAGCACACAGCTGCTGCCTAGGCCAGCCACAGTGGGATACAGCAACCAACAGGAGCATCAAGAAGCTTCCCAAATTTCAGTGCCTACTGCTTTCTTTTAAACCCTGCAGAGGGACAAGAGTTTCATACACAGAGCAGCTGGAGTAAAGCCAGGATTGTACCTCCACATCAAAGCTCTCCTTCAGCACTGCACCGTTTGCAACCACAGAGCAGCTCTGAGCACGCCGAGGAGCGCCCACAGGCACCTGAACAGCGGCACACACCTTGTCCAGGCTGACCTGGCACACTGTCTAGACCTGTCCCCTCTGTTTTTTGAGGAAAAGCCTTAGCTGCTATAGAGAGAGCTTCCCCTTCTCCCAGTGCCTTTTGATCAGCATGCCACTGCTCAACTCTGTTAACCATTCCCAGGGAGGGATCCCATATAGGGCACCTCTGGGCAGCCTCAGTTTAGGCAGCTAAACTTCAGGAAGAAGGAATTTCAAATCACATACGTACTTAACATAATCCAAGATCAAGTTTCAGTCAAGTCCCTGCTCAGCACACAAGCTATGTGGATTGTGCTCAGATGCCTGGCTCTCCTCATGCCCTGTACAGTGAGCACTCATATTTGGGCTTCATTCAGCAGAGGATAAAACACAGTAAATGGCTTCTAAGGATCTCAGTCTTTAATACAGACCAGGGTAGCTGGTCCATAGTCACACAGCAGTTAGCAGAGTCCCCAGCCCTCAACAACTGAGCCATACTGGCTCCCTGTTGTTTTCCTGCACAGCTCAAGGACCAGCATAAGCTCTCAGAAAGCTTCATTAGTTTTTGCTGACTTTACCAGGGCACAGTGTGGTTCTTAATGCAGACTAATCTGTGCTGGAGGCAATCACTAGAGCTTCAGCATTACCAGCAACAGCATTGCATGCCCAAGCACAGCACAATTGCGTGGGAGCAGCTTTTGGCACCATCACTCTGGGTGCTGTACACACAGCTGATGGAGCTGCTGAAGCCAGCGAGCTGGCCCAAAATGGGCACTCATGAAGATACAGCTTGTCCAGAGGGAAGACACACACCACATCCCAGAGGTGTGTGCACTACAGGTGACAAGCTTTTTGCTTAAGGAGAGAAGACATAATCCATCCACCTGGAGACTGCAGCGCAGTCGCTTGCAAAAAGTACAGACATTTGCCAGGATCCCCAAAGCCAGTCATATAAGCAGAAGCAGTGCCTCAGGCAGAGCATTACCTAAAAACACACTGAAGGAGAAGGCTCAGCCACTTTACCTCAGCTCCCAGCGCTATAAGGGTCTCTATGAGAACTGCCGTCTGCACCGTCATATGAAGGCAACCGGCGATGCGCGCACCTTTCAGCGGCTTCGATGCAGCATACATCTCCCGCATCTTCATCAGCCCTGGCATCTCATTCTCTGCAATCTCAATGGCCTTGCGACCCCAGTCTGCAAGGCTGATGTCAGCTGCAAGAGAAGGAGGGCAGGTGTCAGAGCTTAAATAGCTGAGACCTTGGTATCTGTTCACACACTTGTGGATAGGCATCGGCTGCAACAGCTGAACTGAACACCCAGCAACAGCTGGGAGGAGAGTTGGGAAAAAAACCAGACCCTATTTCAGTTACTCCCTGCTTTTTTACTATGGTACACAGGCTATCAAACAAGTTTAGACCAAACCTGACAGCCCCTCTGAAAAGGAAAGTATGCTCCTGTATGAGCATATTAATCAACTGTCATCAGCAAATACTGAACAAAAGAAACTTCTGACAGATGGGCTTAGAGTCAAAAATACTGCACTCTCCATGGATGTCAGCCTCAAACAGACAAGGGTCACACAGCTAATGCCTAGGTGCACCCCTCTGCATCAACAGCTGACACCAAGTGTTCCTGTTACTTGGTCAGCTCTTTCAGAAGCTCTCTGTTTCACTTAAGAGCATGGTCAGACACTTTTCTTTCACCTGCCTCATGAACACAGGCTGTTTAAAGCATTTGGAAACACTGGGACCTCTGAGTCAGGCTGCTGTGTTTAATATAGACAAGCTAATTGCATTTTGCTCCAGAATGAAGATACTGCCTATGCCTTAGCTGACCAGTACACAGCCTTAACAACACCGGGAGACTGGGAAAAGCCCAGGCAATGGAAGGGCCATGGAAACAACTGTACCAAAAAAGGGGATCTTGTCTCTTACCCCTCTTAAGGGCTCCATAGTTTTACCAGGGCTGCTTAAAAATACATTTGGTAGCATTTTAAGTTCATAGCCTCCAAGACAAATTATTTAGGAATCCAAACCTCATAGACTAACATTCTTCTCTTGGATCTCAGCTTTCAAAGAACACACAATTCTCTATTAATAAAATAGGTTGTTGGTTGTGTTTTTTTTAAGAGTTTCAGGTCTGCAAAAATACCCGCCAAAATCTTTAGGGAAACGTGTAACACAGGTCCCCGATTCAAAACCACTTTGGCATTGGGAGTGAAAGCCCGTCCCCGGCAAGGGGCTCCTGGTGGGCGGCCAGAGCAGGAGGGCTGGGGACAGGGCAGCCGGGCTCGTCCCCGCCTGGGAGGGAGAGGAGCAACATCTTGGGTGGAAATATCACCCGTGCAGCGCTGCGGGAAGTGACAGCGGCTCCAAAGAGCGAGGGCGGCCCCCGAGAGGCCCCCGTTTCTTCCTCCGTGGGTCCTTCAGCAGCGCGACTGCACCCGCAGCTTTGCCCCACAGCGCGGAGAGGGTTTTCAGGATCGGATCCCCCGCCTGCCCCACGCTGCC